GTGGCAGGAATGTCCTCTGGATTTTGTGCTCCATCTTGTGGTGACGCTTGCTCGATTCAGAGTTGTTAGTCTCGGATGTGCAAATTCAACTTGCTCTGTCTTGGCTTTCACTGTTCCTCCCCACCAGAAAGTCCATACCTGCGTTAGGGGTGAAGCTCTCTGCTGCAGAAAGAATAGGGGGAGCTGGAGAATGTGTTTGAAATCCTGCAGGAAAGGAAAATCAAACCTTTTATTTTAGTACTGTGTAAATGTGTGAGCTTGAATATGGGCAGTTCTAGAGCATATTTTTCCTGATAAAAGTGACAGTTTTGTAACGTGACTCAGTCCAAATGGGGATTTTAGGAAAGGGAAGAATAGGTGTGGCCTGGGATGAGAAATCCATGGCCTTCTCTTTAGTTAACTATATATAACAATTGTGCTATGGAAAATTTAAATCTAGGATCCCTAATGATGCTAAAATGGAATAGTAAGGACACCTAGTAAGGCTGCTATCTTACCTGATACTCATTTCCATGGTCATGACCAAACTGCTTTCGTTTAAGTCTTCACAGCTTCTCAGAAAAGGCAGAGTTGTCGAATAACTGTGACACTTGAATAAGAAAATAATCATAGTTCTATTTTTTACAAATCAAATTTTGATGGTATAATTTTATTTGCTCTCTTCTGACAGCAAATTGTTACTTGACTGGGTTAGGCTTTTCTTTTTTCTTTTCTCTTTTTTTTTTTTTTTAATTTCTTTTCCTTTCATTGCTGGATCCAACTGACACTAGTCTATGAGATTTTTAAAAAAATGTTTTTCAGGTATCCAAAACGGATCCCTCACCAAAAAGAGAGATGCCCACTATGATTCTCTTCAACGTGGTGTTTGCACTAAGGGTAAGGACTGTCTTCATTCCATCTGACAGTGGGATGTGCGTCAGATGTATAAGAGAATGCAATAGGCTCATGTTTCAGTAATCTCTTGTAAAACATTCAGTGCCTAATTTCATTGAGATATTTTAATTTGAAACAACAAACCTAAACAATGTAGAATATGACACTGACAAGTGGGAAAGTTTTCCAGCCCAGCAGAAAACAAGTACAGTTGTTCTTTCAGAACATTGTCTAGAGTTTTTGGTTTTAAATACCCAGAGTGCAAAGGCATGCAAGAAATCACTTTGCAAAACAGATATGAACCCAGCTGCAAGTCCTGTATGTGTCTTGTCTTCTGTTATTAGTGAGCTGGTAGTCTTTAGCTGTGATTTTTCTAGACCCTGCAATTGAGGTTTGTCCAACTGAATGGTGCAAGACGGCAGCCTGGGTCTGACCTTCCTGTGTGTCAGATGCTGCTCTCTGTACGTAACTTCTCTACTCCTGCCTGGGATAGGACCAGATCCACACAGCTGCACTAGCACGTTGCTAAGCCCTCGTGACTCCATGCAGCTCGGAACTTGGTGGTCGGTTCTGCTCCAGAAGTGGAGGCAGCAGGCCACAGTGGCTCGCCTTGGCCAGCCTTGAGGGTCAGGTCCTCACCATGGCCTTGGCCAACCCAAGCTTGCTGAGTGCAGAGTCATTCAGAAACCTGCTCTGGCTCAGAACAGCACTGTTTTGAGCCCTTACTCATGCTGTATGATACAGAGACACGTGCCTTTGCTCAGTGCCTCTAGGCTTCTTTTGTAATTAAACGGGCAGTGTTTGAAAGCTGCCTCCTCTTAGCAATGAGATCAATGTAAAGGGAGAGTGGAAGGGAGCAGCGGCTGTAGTATTCTAAATGAGAAGAAGGTACAAGATGAAGAATAAGTAGGTTTTGACACTCAACAAGAACCTGGAGCAAATATGCAGTTTTTGCTTGGAATTTTCTTCAGCCCTATTCTATCAACTAGATGTTGGTATCTGTGTTAACAGATCCTCGCTTGGCTAATTTGGTGGTATAAAACCCTAGAAATTTCATTATGCTTAAGCATTTGATTTCTGAGCTCTGGCTTTCTCTTCCCAGCCCACAGATTGCATCGTATTGTTTTTGTGCCATGTACACATTTTAAAAATTAGAGAGAGTTGGAATAGCTGTCTTGATGGAAATGGTTGAATTCGAGTGCATATAACGTGATGATTTAAATGCCTCCAGCTCCCTGCTTGTGAAATGCCTTCTTTTCTTTTTCTTTTAGCACTAGTACTTTTCTTACCACTGGCTTTCCAGTGGTGACGAACATGGACATGGCCACAGTCCGGATGGCTTGTCCTCAGTTGAAGAGCAATGTTTCACAAAAGACAATTATCCCAGCAATCAGTCTGAAGCAAGCAAGAAATCATTCACTGAGTTCTGCTGGGGATCCAGTGTTGTGCTCTGGGTCATTCTTAGGTCAGGAAGTGCCAAATTTGCAGTACTGGAGTTGATTTTACATTTCACACATTAAGAGACATTAGCTTCAACAGTTTTGATGTTTTGGCATATTGGTAAAGCACCAAAGCACCACGCTTTGGTTGCAGCTAAGTGTGTGTAGATTTACACACGCAAATACAAACGTTCATGCACACTGAGTCATGGGGAAGCAGAAGTGTTGAAACCAATGCTCCTTCACTGACAATATTGCAAGAGCTTGGTGAAGTGCAATGAAGACTATATCTACCCCACATTTTTCTAGAATCTAATTTCTAGTGGTTTTCCTAGGAAAACTTGCTTTTTTTGCATTTTGGCACTGTGATGACACTGATGTAGTTGGACGTGTGATGCAGCACTAAATCGTATTTGCCAAATGAGACACACTTAGTTCATAGAGAGCTGTCAAGTTTCTGGAAAGTACTGTGCAAGAAGCAAGTGGAAATTTTTTCTTAGCATGGTGTAGTGCACTGCAGAGGGTGGGTGGAGGCATTCTGAGATAAAGATGAGAGTCCATCTGCACTGGGCAGACAGAGCAGGCAAAGTCCCAAATGCTATAATCAGCACTGATCCTGCTGTGTTTAAGCTTCAGGGTTACCAACGTGTCGTGACTCAGCAAGAACAGTGGAATCTAAAAATGATGACTCATGGTTTGTTAGTTTACATGCCAAGTTATCACTTGCTAGAACTGTAAATTCCTTTAAATGTCTTAACAAACATGAAGCAGCTGCTTACTCAGACTGGAGCCACCAAGCCCCCCCCCCTTGTCAGCTGTACTTACACGATAGATTTTTCCAGCACTTTCATTCTGGGACTTACATGAATGCAGTGTTAGTAATAAGTCATATTTGTGAAATTTTTGGAAACTGTGATCCAAATTTATTCTCATTTGGGATCAAATTGTTGATCATGTACTGGTAATTCTTGCCCAGTTACTGTCTTGTCAGTATATAAGACAAACGTCAGTATAGCAGCACGGAGAGAACGGGCTGTGTTAAAGGCACTGCAGTCCTTACACTCCTAGTGAATTTAACCTGAACACCGTGATAGTCTGCCTTTTCAAATAGCGTGACACTTTCCTCACTCTGTGAAATTGAGTTCTTTGGTCTCTCTGTTAACAAAAGGCCCAGTAAGGACTGGAAAAAACAAAACAGATAGGAGTGTCATGCTCCAGGTGCTGTGTTCATTTGATGCACATAGACAAGCTTAGAAATCCCTGAATCTAACTTTGGACATCTCTCAGCTTCTGCTTTGTTGCTGTTTGAGAAAACTCCTTTCTTTTGCACTTGCCAAAGAGACTGAGTTTTGGTATCAACTTAAGATAATTATTTTGATTACTGATCCATCACTATAGTTCCGTATATGTGACTGCGGCTGAATGACCGATGTGTTTCTTTTCTGCGTTGCCTGTAGGCCAATGCAGATCCATCCGTGATAAACTGCTTACACAACCTCTCCCGAAGAATCGCTATAGTCTTGCAGCACGAGGAGCGCCGCTGCCAATACCTGACCAGGGAGGCCAAGCTGATCTTAGCTATTCAGGATGAAGTGTCTGCCATGTCAGAAAGTGAGTGCTGACCTTAGCTTTTTGCAGGAATATGTTTGTCCAGCAGCACTTTTCCAGAAAAGCGCTGATGGTGCCACGTTACTATTTTTGTGGCTGGGATAAGTATGAACAAGTTTTGCTGCTCTTTAGCATTCTGACAGCTTTTGACTGCATTTTGCCTCATTCAAGATGACTATCCCTATGCAGAGATGTCAGCTTTAGAAATGCAGTAGCTTATTTACTTTCCTTGCTAGCTCAGTTCAGCGCCATCGCTGGAGAATGTGTGCTGAACTGTCACATTTGGCTCTGCCTGTCAGGCTGAGATGGAAGAACTCATATGTAGCCTGCTTCACCCAACCTAGAGCAAGTTTCCCATGCTTTAATGCAGTGTGCTGAGTCACCAGACTTCTTGTGTGGAAAACTTTACTCTTACATGTTGTTACTGTGACTAGCAAATAGTTAAAGAGCATTTTTAGAGGGTGTACTTCAGAGCAATTTAATAATATGCACTATTTAAGGTGAACTCTGTCTGACAGTGATGCATCATCTTGCTGCAAGCATTAAAAATTAAAACTAACATGTATAAAACCAAAAACACTTAAAATCATCACTTGTCAAATTCACAGTTACATGTGTTTAACTGAGTTGAGGTTTAGGAGAAGTTGGCAATAATTCACTGTTATTATTTTAACACATAACTTGAGTTATTGTAAAAGCTTTGAAAGATAATTGTAGATTAAAAAGATACGGATTCTGTCCCTAAGATACTGGTTGATACCTAGTGGGGAAAGAGGAAACTGCCTTTGCTTTGAAATCAGTTGTTTGCTTTCTTGTTTTGAAAATTTCTGCAGCCACAGAAGGGCCACAGTCACCTTTTCATCACATCCTACCCAAGTGCAAACTGGCCAGAGATCTCAAAGAGACATATGACAGGTAAGTGGGATTTCCTTCCTAGCTCATAGCGTGCTGCTTCTCACGGAAACCTCTTGCCTTGTTCCGAAGGATATTATCCACCTCTTCATGCTGCTGGCTCATTGGGATTTGGGTTTAGACCAATATGAAGGCTACCTGTCAGGTGTAACATTTGCAGAATTGCTATCCTAATCTTTACCTTGGGCTCCCTTTGGATATGTTATGGTTCTTAAAAGTTGGTGATGTCTGTCACAGCTTTAAGAATTATTATTTTCTTCCTTAGCACAGAGGCACATTATGACAAGCAGATTGCGGAAAAGTGTCATAATATGAATATCATCACTGTAGAAGTGCTCTAAATCTGCAGCTAAGAGAAAAATGCTGTATTTAGCACTGGTGGCAAGTCAGATACTGCCCTGGCTTCATTTGGTTACACTGTGCGTGTCTGGACAGTGAATTTGGATTAGGTGGTGAGACTTCCAGCAGAATCGAAAGTGTAACATGCTGTTTCCTGACGGGATTAAAACTTCTGGCGAGGATTTCAAAGGAGCGTGGAGGTAGTGTTGAATTTCAGCAGGAGCCAGCACCAACCTCCTCCAGCGTACTTCTGCTCTGACAGCTTGTCAGTGCTGACTCCTCGTGCAGAGCAGACACCTTCGTTCAGAGTACAAGCTTGGTGAAAGACCTTGACAAAGGAGCGCAGAAGGTTTTGGTGGGGAGGAAGACGATGTGTCCCTTGATTAGGGTGTTTGTCGGGGCTTGGGAGAATTACTCATTGAGTTCCTTGATTGACACATTGTATGATATCAGACAAACCCTTTAGCCTCCCTAAGGCTGCAGTTCTCTTTGTACAAAGGGAATAATCACAAAGCCCTGTAAGGTAGGGCACTGAGAGCCTAAATAATTTAATGATCGCAACGCACATTAGAAAACTTGTAATCAGCTGTTCTTTGTTATGTTCAAGAGCTGTGAATTTCAGCCTGTTTGGAGGGTACGTTGTACACTGTTCGATACAGCTCTCACAAAACCTGTACTAAATTTTAAAGCAGGGCGCTTTTTATGTAGCCTGTAATTCTGCTATTAAACTTCAACTACTACTTACTTTGTTCCTCTAGGGCTGTCTTATTTGTGACTGGGCAAACCCTGATCTGGTTTCCAAACATTTTAGTGACACAGTGACATCTTGTGGCACTTAGCTGTGACTGGAGGAACATATAGCCCAAGCTCATGGTGTATGCCCATACAACCCTTCTATGAAATAAGGAGGAGCAGACTGACGATGGAGAAACACACCGCAGTGCTGCCCCCCAGATGTAAAATAAGGCAGCATCTCCCTCATGTAGGCGTTGAGAGTCAGGGAGAAGTGGTGCAAGTTATATTTTGACACTTTTGCATGACATTGCCAGAAGCAAATGTAAGAAATAAGCTGTTGGTAAAAATATAACATGTCTGTGCATTTGACTGGAAAGCTCTATTTGAAGAGTAGTTAACAGTGTTGTTGGCTGGCTGCGTAGTAAGCTGGTGTTCTGCAGTATTTTTCCATTAATGCTTCATGCAAGAGAATAGGAAATATGCTTATTACACCTGCAGGAGTACCTTGCCAGGCAGGCATAGAATTAAAATAATTTTTTGGTTAAGTAGAAGAAATGGTCTAGAAATAGGATTTTTATTCTGCAACTCCAGGATGAGGAATTCCTGAGTGGCAACAGTTCTGGAGTGAAGTCTGTGTGGTCTTTTATGAAATGAGGGTTAGTCATAAGCGACATGGGGTTGCAGAAAAAGCAAATAGATAAGGATGCATAAAATAAAAGTCTTGTCTGTAAGATGGGAACCAGTCCTGCTCAGGATTGTAAATCCCCTGCTGTAATGAATACCGTATCCAGTTATGGGCACCACTTTTCAAGAAGGATTTGGGCCACCTAGAGAGTGTGGAGGAGTGAGAATGACCTAAGAGGAAAGATTGAAAGATTTGGTCTGTTTCTTTTAGAGGAGAAAAGACTGCTGGGAACGGTAAGTCTTCAAATGCATGCAGCGACAATGTCCTGTTTTAAATTTAGAGAGATTTCTGGCATAGCCTTTGGCATAGAGGAACAGCATAGTAAAGTGGAGAGAGTGCTTTGAATTGCAGATGGGAACCCAGCTCTCCATTCGAGATTCGCTCAAGCCAGCATTTCCTAGTGTCTGCTGTTTCCTGCAACTCCAGGCAAAGGCCCCCCACACCGTGGGGGTTGCTCCAGAGGTGCTGCCTAGCCCTTGGCTTCCTGTAGATGGTGCTGAGGTATTTCAGGCAAGACCCAACACGTCCCTTAGTGAGTCGGTTTGTACAAAACCACAAGTGCATGAATCTTTTTATTGTTCAAAATGTCCCTTGCATTTTGAATGAAATGCCCGTATTTTATAAGGCAGGAATCAATAGCCAGGTCATCTTGACTGTAATGCTGTTGCAGCCATAGTAATGGAGTGGTATTAAACTGACAGTTTAGAGGTAATCAACGTTTAGTTCCTGGGACCTTTTTTGCATCTAATGGAGAAAACTATAATGTTTCTTTTTTATTAGTTCAGAAAATAGATATGGGAGTCTTTGTTCATTTTGTCCTCCAACTCCAGCATTGGTGTGGAACAAAAAGCAACGGCTTTGGAACCAAGAAAGTCCAGTTGCTGGTACCTCCATTTACCGGTGTTACAATGGGTGTCTCTCTTAAGCCAGTGTTCAATTTAGGGAATTAAGACAGCTTTCACCAAGTTTTATCTGCAACTGCAGGTAATATGTTAGCTCGATACTAGTGAACTGCCTATGTGTTTTTAGCAGACTTCTCTTAGCTTTATATTGGAATAAAAGTGGGAGTATGGGAGGTTTTGGGGGAGGATTGGATTGTTTGTTTCTTCTTTTTAATACACAAAGAGCTTTTATACATTTTTAGCCCAGTGGGATTTGAACTGACTGGTAGGTCTGGCCTATCTCAGCAGCTCAGAGAGAAGTGGAATGATTATATGAGATTAAATGAATTATTAGATGTGATTAGTGTGGCTGTACTGTAGAATATAAACCAGCTAGAGTTATTTGATCAAAGGATGGTCAATGTGTCCTTTACAAGGAAACATGAAACCATTTCAAAGCTCTAAGTAGTCACAACCTCTAGCAAAAATAAACAAACTCCAAAGCTACAAACTCACCTCCACAAGCTAGAAAACATATTATTAATTTCTGATATAAATGGGAGAGACATAAAATGAGGTGTGTGTATGTAAAAATTCATAACTCTCATAAAATATGATGTGAGGTTGTCTTTCTTTTGCCAATAGTTATGGGGGGGGGGGAAAGGCTGCAATTCTGTGGGATACCAGCCAACTTTTGGGTTCCCATTTTGGGGCAGTGGCTCACAGTTGTTCAGGGCAGAGCAGAATAGAGCAAAAGAGTGGTGATATTCCCAAAAATGTTCCCTAGCTTCCTGCAGCTCTGGAGGTGGTTTCTGTATATTCAACAGCCTTCAGCTGATCTCACTTCCCGGAATTAGTCCACGATCCTGTGAGCCAGAGTAAATATTTAACAACCACAGCATCCTCAGATAAAGAGGTCCATGGCTTAATAGTTTCTGTGTTTCTTTCTCTTTCTTTTGAACTTTGCTCCTTCTAGTATCATGAGATGTCTCTCAGGTCTTATGATGGAGAGCTGTTAAACAGCTTTTTCCTATTTACTTCTCCTTGTCTCAATTTTAGACTGTGCCAGCCCCTCTCAGTATCCTAACCCCTTACCATGTGTCCCTCAGTATCGCTCATCATGTATTACCTAACCAGAGATTTTTTTAAAAAGAAGTGTTGAAACTAAGTTTTCATGGGATAAAAAGGAATGTCTTTGAGGGTTTAATAGCCAGTTAGAGCATGGGGAATGAAGCTATTTTTGCCCAGTTACCCTTGAAGTCTGTGGGGGGAAAAAGGAAAAGTTGCAGCAAGGTCTCTGGATACCAGTTCACTGTCTGATAAGACAGCAGATGAAATTCAGTGTAGATAGATGTAAAGTAATGTGTGGAAGGCCAGACAGCCTTTATGTAGTACATAACTGCTCTGAAAAGAGCTTTTGGAATTACAGCAGCTAGTTCAGTGAAAAAGCTCAGGGTGCAGTAATGGTGCAAAAAATCCCCATAAAATGTGAAGAGTAGTTAGGAAAGGAGCAAAGAACAAGAGAGAGTCTGTAAATTACTGGCGTACCTACTGTACCCTTGAAAGCTTTGTGCAATTCTAGGTTTCCTACCTAGGAGCCACTTAAACTGTGTCCCTGAGGTTCATGGTGCACAATGCAGTGTTCTCACCTTATCGCAGTCCTGCACCGTTTGCTCCACAATTTAGTTGGTTAAGAAGAATAAAGTAAAACTGGAGGTAGGTGACTCCCTAATGCGACTTTGAAAACTTGTTTTCTTGGTATTCTCTTCTATTGCTGGTTTTTGCTGTTTTGCTCCTGCCCCTAAAAGAAGGTGGTTTCTGGTTTGCTGGTCCCTGGCCAAAGAGCTTGGGGCCAGCTCCTGGAGATTTGTGAGGCTCCCAGTAAAAAGCTTGCTAAATAGATTGGTAAAAATGAAGGCAAACGTGGATCCGAACTTCACTTTCTCTGACTTGACTGTATTTCATGTTGCATAAATCTTTGCGTATATATTGGTGAAGTTATTTAACTCTGTTGGCTGGCTAAGGGCACTCACATATGTTGCTGCTGGATGATGTAGCTTATTCCTTGTCAAATTATTAGAGACTTAAATTATTTTCCATTCAAGGAGGGGCAGGTGAAGGAGAAATCATGTACGTAAAGCTATAATGAGGGCTTGAAATTGTACAGTTGAATGCAAATGTAGAAGAATGAAATTAAGATCCAGATCAGAACTGAAAATCTGGTTTTCTTGTTGTCTTTAATTCTAGGCTATTGTTGTATAGTGCACTGTAGACAAAATTATGTTGTGGAGAGTGTAATTATGTAAATAAAGCTTCTGTCTTGGTGCACTTGGACCAAAGAATGAAAGGAACCAGCCCTATTTTTTTCTGTTTCCTGAATGTTAAACTATGCAGGGAAAATAGCCCTGCAAGTGTTTCATGTTTTCATGTACCTCTGCTTCTTCTCAGTAACCTGCTTTAACAACCCCAGTAGCTTTCAGGTAGTCTCTTAACTCGCTTGTCCTGCTCATTTATTGTCATGTTTTCTCTTGTGAGTAGCTAGTGTGGATAACTGCTGCTTCGGTATGCCCTTTACCTTGATGTTTTTTGAGAGAATCCAGCTTTATCTCTCAGTTGGCGTATGTCTGGTGGGATAAGCAGTGTTACTGGAGTTGCAGCATTTAATGCAAGAAAAATGGAGGTGTTTGCAGTGCTTTGCATGTTCCTTCAGGGTTCGGAGCCTCTGATCAGATGTGAGGTGGTAATGCCAGAGAGACAGTGGATTCATCCTTTCAGTTCCTTTTAAAAAAAGGAAAACATATAGAGTATCTGCTCCATTTGCAATTTGAAAAATAGGTATTTTTCAGAGGCCAGTGCAGGATTTGAGAACAAAACCGTGGCCTCTGCTTTTGAAAAGCATTGTCTGCAATGAGATCTTCCCTAATGAGTCTGATCATGCACGAGGCAGGACGGGATCGTGTTTGCCCTCTCACCACTCTGTTGTGGTTTGGTGAATAGTTACACTGGCAGCCAAAGCTACCCAATGTTTTTGTTTTAAAGCTGAATTTTCAGGTCTTTCTAAACGCTGTATGCAACCAGATGGACTTGAAAAAGAGCATGTTAGTTTGTAGCCTACAATTGAATGCTAGGTATAAAAGTTTAAATCACCACATAAAGAGTTTCCAAGACATGTATTTGCTCCCGGCCTGTTCCTGGCATGTTTTTAAATGTGTTTTGTGCAGAGGGGTGATTTGTGGGTGTTATTGACACAAAAGTCATATTGCAAGTCTCAACAGACTTGAATTTAAAATTCGGACTGGAATTTTCAGAGTGCAAACTTTGAAATTTTATTTTAGGCCAGAAAAAAAAATAAAATCTTTTGGAACAAAGTCTAAAAGCAAAGGATGTATTGAGAAATTCAGCTCTCCAGTGTATACAAGATTAGCTCTTGCTTGCGATTGATATGCAAGTTTCTATGCATTCCTAACTCAGTACCCATGAAGAGATGCAGTGGGCCTTGCCTCCTCCTCCTCCTGGGTCCCGCTGCCTCTAGCAGAGCTGTTCCCAGGCCAGCGTCTCTGGCCTGCGGGTTGGGCAGCGTTGTGAAGGTTTGCAAGGTGTGCCTAGCTTAGCTCCTTATTGTATGTTACCCATCTTTACCCATTTTTAAGTAAATATAGTTACCTACCTAGGTGTATTTCATCTGTTACCTAGATTTACAGCCTTCTGTAAAACTACCTGAATGACATTCATGGCTCTAATCTCCCAGCTTTATGGGGTTTTTTAGTAAAAGAGGCTTATAGTTGCTTTCGGGCTGAACACGAGGGTCAGACTTCATTGTCATTCCTGAGATGTCTATCATTTCCACTCCAGTCCTGTTGTCTGAAGTCAGCTTAAAGGCTTAGCTTAGTTCTGTGGTTTCCTAGAGTGAAGAAACCATTTAACGAGCGTGTTTCTGATTTCACATGGCAAGCAGGAGCAGGTTAGTAGGAAACAAACAACCTAAGCAGAACCAAAGAAGTCTGTTACTGTGGAAATGTGCTGCTCATAACACTCCTTGCCCAGTACAGACATCTTCTTTTCCCTTTCCTTGGAGAGGAAGATGGAAATTGGTGATGGAAACATTGTGCCAAATTCATCTTTGCCCTTTGCAGCTCTGGTCTAGGGAATTTTCCAGTACCTTGAAGTAAATCCTCAATAAACTCTTTTGAGATACTGCTGCAATGTTAAAAGCAGAGTGAGCAGATCATCAGTGGCGTGAAGTCTTGCACATCCCCCCTAAAACCTTGTAGGGGATAATGCTCTGTAAGTACAAGTTAAGGAAGCCCTTGCAGCTGGGCATCAGCTGGTCCTCAGCCAGCCTGGGGTACATCCAGTCTTTGTTTGTCCTGACGTGATTCCTGTGCAGGGGTGAATCTGGACCACTATTTTAATTTGTTATTCATGGTAAATGCTGTATGTATTTGTTTTCTTCCTATTTTAGTCTCTGCACAACAGGGGTGGTCCGTTTACATATCAACAACTGGCTGGAAGTGAGTTTCTGCCTGCCTCATAAAATCCATTATGTTGCCACAAACTTTATACCCCCTGAAGCAATTGAGAGAAGCCTGAAATCCATCAGGTAAGAGCAAGCTCTGTCCTTCCTCCAGTTCCAAGTGTGGTGCTGCGGATGTCTGCGCTGGCACAGCTGGGGGCATGATGTGACACTGAACTGTAGTGGGTGGGACACACGGGCTGAGACAGGACTCCCTGAAGCTGATGCTGTGGTACCAAAATCCTGCTGGTGGTGTGAAGCCACAGCCTTTGCATGCACATTGTGGGGTCGTACTGAAAATGGGAGGTGAGGCTGCCGGAGAGCTCTGCACTGTTTACAGTCAGAGGAATTGTGTGTTCATTTTAATCTGTTGACCCAGCAGTAATTTTGCTTTTAGAGGAAGAAGAGCCCAGCCCCCATGGTATCTTATTTCCTGCTCTCCATATTTACAGCTTTTTACCTGCAAAAGTAACTCATTCTTGCTTTCTTCCTGTCTTCTACTCTATTCTGTATTTCAGTAATGCAGATGAGCAGTTTTCAGGCTGGTTCTCCCAGCTTAAATGTGTGCCAGCACAGTGCAGTCATTTTTTTCTAATCGCTGGGGCATCCAGTTACCATATAACCCTCTATACCTTTTTTTATGAGGAGCATCTTGTCTTGTGACATAAAAATAAGCTTATTCTGAACCCACTTACAGCAAAAGGATGATACTAGAAGTTCTTTTTTACCAGTAGATTGACTGGGTATAATGGTCTGGGAATAACTAAGCCTTCAGGAAAAGTTGGTTTACTGTGCAAATGTATTCCTTTTTTCTGCAGGCCGTACCATGCCTTATTACTTTTAAATGATGAGAAGTCATTGCTTAATGAGCTCCCGTTGGACTGCTCTCCTGCCCTGGTGAGAGTAATTAAAACTACCTCTGCTGTGAAGAATTTGCAGCAACTGGCTCAAGATGCTGACTTGGCATTGCTGCAGGTATGGGGAACTGTCAGCGGCAGCTGAAATTCTTTTACATCACGAGGCATTTTCTGTGTGCCAGGGGGTTTCTGTGGTACACGAGCACGTCTGTTCTCTCAGTGTGAGCAGAGTGCACAGAGAAAGTGTGAGCCTTAGAGTGTGGGGAAGGGCTGGAGAGACGAAGAGCAGTGGTGCAGTGACAGTGCTCGACAGTCCTGTGGCCATGTCTGAATCACAGATTGCTGTGAGGTAGCAGGGGCATCTGCAAGTCTCTAGTCCATACTGCTGCTCAGAGCAAGTCCACTAAAGCAGGCTGCTCAGGAACCTGTCTGTATGAATTCTGAATACCTCCAGAACATCTTCCACAACCTCTCTAGGCCCTGGTCCAGCATTTGATCAACATCAGAGTGAAAAACTTTCCTCATATCTAATGGGAATTTCCCATCTTCCACCTTGTGTGTGTTGCCTCTGAGAAGAGTCGCTCTGTCTTCTCTGTGCCTTCCCTTTAGGTAGTTAAAACCAGAGCAAATAGCACTCTTGACTTACGCCACAGTGGTCTGTCTTGGTTCTGCCACGTTGATGTCTTTGTGGAAATGGAGGCATCCAAAATGCAAGTGAAAGCTTACAGCTGCCATGGCGAAATACTGCTGCTTTCTTTGGCTCTGCCAAGATCTTTTCTACTAAAGAGCTCTGAAAGCCCATGTAAACCTACCTATCGATTGCCCTTAGTACACTAGTGGATGGATTTTGCAGAGTCCCAGGAAGAAGCTCTAGTTTAGGCTTGGGCAAAAATTTTCAGTCAGTCCCTCCAAGCCAGCAGCTCTTTCTGAATGCCTTTCCAGTATTGACAGCCAGATTTCAATTCTGAATTGCTCAGGGTGATGTGACGGGCCCTTAAAAGGGAAGCTTGGGCCAGTGGAGGGAATAAGACTCTAGCAATCACGTGAGACACGATTCCGCTCAGAGATGATGACTGCAGCCATTGTGGCCCTTTGCTTGTCGGGCCTGATGGTTATATTAGATGATATGCGAGAGGGGAGAGCTGCTCCATGCTTCTAAGGGTTGATTCAGAGCCAGGGACGCAATCTATGCTCTGTGTGACAGGAGAGAACAACGTGGCTTGTGGTCACAGATGCTCCACATCGTAGGTCTGCACCTTCTCTTATTTGAAGGGAAAGGTCCTGTTTTCTAATAAAATTTCCAGGTCTGCTTACAGTGGTCTGTGGTGTTACTTGGCCTTATATAGCTATGGGATGAACTCTGGAAATTCCCTACTGCTTCTGTAGATTTGTTCTCCACAAAAAAATAAAGTTAAATGCACCTAATGATACAGGCTGGATTTTGTCTCATAGATGCTATTTATGTAGCTCTTCCAGAGCCATTAACAACCACTGACTTGTTTAACACATTAAAATACTTTGTGTAACTCATTATTGAAATATCTCAGTGCATTAAAAAGGCAGCGTTGCTTTCATTTATGGTTGTGTCATAGTAGAGGCTGATTCTTTTGGTTTATTTTTCATGTATAACACTTAATGCATTTTGTGCATAAGCAACAATAGGTTTTTGGGCCATGAAAAACAACTGAACTACTATTGATACAGTTTGAAGAAATTCTGTTAAGGCAGGAAATACTCAGTTGCTTAGAAATGTGAAGCAAACCTCTGGAAATTCATAACCTTGTCAAATGCTTTTTGATGTGCCATATGTTATATTAAACTCTGAATTTATTCTGAAGGCAGGGTGAAAGGATGGAACATTTTCTTTTCATTTCAGCTCAAACAAGACTTTTCTGTCATTATATGGAACTCTTGCTGAGAGTTTGAGTTTTGCTTTTTTGCTCTCCTAATTTTTCCCCATTTTTTCAATACAGGTTTTCCAGCTTGCTGCACATCTTGTTTACTGGGGAAAAGCAATTATTATTTATCCGCTGTGTGAAAACAACGTCTACATGCTTTCTCCAAATGCCAGTGTCTGTCTGTAAGTAGAAGAAAAATGAGTGTCTGTAGGAAGAAGGTGGTGAGAAGTGCAGATGTGCTTTCCTTCCCTGTCTTACTGGATACAGGGTAGGATCTTTCTTCACATAGGAGTTTGTTGAGGGTGTACAGAACACAAACCATTACGTGTGCCTGAACTCGCAAAGCCATAGAGGAGTTTGTGTGTGGTAGGGAGGAGCATCATAGCAGATCGATATGCTTCTGCAGTGATGTGGGCCTGGGAAACCGTATTTGCCCTGTAAAGCTACTTTTAGTACTTTTATATGCTCGCTCACTGAATGTCCATATCAGAAAGGCTGTACGAACCTGAAGCAATACAGAAACATTTACAAAACAAAATACTTTATGATGCAGTTAAATAAGTGTTTCATAGGACTATCTGTGTACCTGGGACACAGCATCACCTGAAGTTAATCAAAAGTAGAAAATCAAGGTAATTTGCTCTCATTATTATATTGTTTCATGTGATGGCATTTTATACTGGTGTACCTTCTCGCAGACAGAAGGCAACGCAGCCATTTTGAGAGCAGGCAGTGGCAATGCAAGGGAGATGTGGAGGCAGTGGTGGGTGTTTTTGCTCTGCTGAAGATTGGCAACACTTTCTCTGTTGGATTTTGAGACATTTTTAGAATCTGTGTTGGAACTCAGTTATCGGAAAATAGTTTTAAATCAAAACTTCTGTGATAGGAATATAAAAATAGGGCTGGAAGGGACCTTGAGGTCATTCAGAACAACTGTGCCTGTGTCATATATGGCAGTGCTGTTCTTGAAGACCTTTGTAGATGGAAATCCTAAGACAGACAGCTTTGCTAATATTTATCTTGACTCTCCCTTACTTGTGATCAGTCGTATTGCTTGTCCTATCAGCATAGGCAGGGAGAACAGTCACATCTGCAGCTGCATTTTGCAAATTCAAAGATTGTGTGTATATCCTGCATGTCCCTGTCTTCTCTTGACTGCCCAATCCCTGTTCCTTTGATCAGAGACTGCGCAGGTCTGGACCTTCTGTAATTTTTATTTTTCTCCTCTGGATTCCCTCCACACCTTGAATAATGTACTGGAGCTGAATGTGATGCCAAGATGAAAGTGCATCTATCTGCTTCTTGGTTACTTTTGCAGGATGCAACATGCCATAAATGATCTTTACTGTTTTTCTAGATCACAGAAAATATTTCATTTGGGAATTGGCACTTCTGTAATGCTTAAATGGATAAATGTTACACTGACCAGCAATATATAAAACTGATTTCTGCCTTTACCTCTTTTCTGTAGTTATTCTCCATTAGCAGATGCATTTTCTTGTCAGTTCCGGGGCCACAACCTGCCGTCGATGCTTTCCAAGTTCTCCCTCCCAGTGTCACTCTCAGAGTTCAAGAATCCACTCGCACCGCCCGTTCAGGAGGTGAGATGGGGGGTGCACAAGAGCTCCTCGTTCTCCTGCAAATGAGAACAAGGAATGGTGTTGCTTCTGGAGTACCTAGTCAGGAATCTGCTATTGCAGGTTTAGAAGTTGCCAATTCCTGTGTTTCCAACCATGTTTTTTCATATCCACATGCCAAAAAGCTGTGGGGCTGTTCAAGGTGAAGCTGTGCAGATGCTCTGTGCTAGCAAAGCACAATCCTAAAAGAAAAACCAGAATGTTTCTTTGTCTTGAGTGATAGAGTGGGGAAAACTGAAACTCCATTTGGTCTGTTGAAAACTGTCATAAATTAGTAGGGCTGAGTGCAAGTTTGTGGATTCCTCACAAGGACACTTAATTTTATTACATTCCATCTGCTTTAAGTTCACAATCTGGTTATAAAAGCAAACTGTCTATTCACTTAGCTCTTGATATGAAACTGGAATTGTTTAAAGGCTGTTACAGGAAGCAGACTCAGCATGTAGTCAACGGGAGTCCATGTGTTACAGCATTAGCATTTTAGTATTCCAATTTGGGATAATAATACATGGATTTTGGATTTGTGTGCTGTTGTTTTGCTTACACATAGATCATGGCTTGTGCCATTTCTGGGAACTGGTGAAATGCAACAAAGAGATCAATAATGTGAGGTCTCCTGGCTGACGTTTATATTCCCAGATGAAGAAGCTTGGACCTCGGAACACAGCTCGCTGCGGCAAAGGGAGCCCAGGCAGAGTTCTTTAGCTGATTTCTTGTAGCGTTACTTGCTAGCCTTCACACTTTGATGACTTGCTGGCTACATGAATTTAGCCACTGTTCAGATATCTGGAAGATTAACATCAATTGCGCACACAGGCAAAACTGTGAGAGAAGCGTTTGTCATAATTACAGGTTGGCAGAGATTATGATCAGAGATAAAGATAATTAATGATGTAGCATATAATCCCAGTAGTTTGTACTGGTCAGCTGCCACCTTAGAGGCAGGGGAAGAGCCGTGACTATTGCTTTGTCAGTACTTCATAGTTACAGACAAATCTGTGTCCTGAAAATTGAAGCTGAATTAATAGCATTAGTTTTATTCTAGCAGCAGTAGCTTCAGGAGGCATTCTTCTTCTCAGTACTCCTTTTAAAATGAATTAATTGCCTTAATACTACAATACTTCCAGTTGTTCTCAGACATCCTACTTTTGTTTAAAATACACAAATAAAGTCTGCTACTTACTGCTGCAGTTATGCCATGAAACATCAGTGTGCGATGAAGGTTTGCCAGAGCTGTTGGAGTGATAAAATGGCTCCTTTAGAGTGCGCGTCTTCTCTGATGCTCAACTGTCCATGATAGGGTCCTAAAAGCCAACAGCACGTCTTGTTATCACCAGCCTTTGAGCACGTGTGGAAGGATGAAGGATGATGCTGTGAAGAGCTAGGGAAGTGCCTTCTACAGCGTGAAAAGAGGGGGCGAGAACTGTGGCTGCAGAAGACTCGGGGCCACATTGGCAAGGCACGTGGGTGAAGATGAAGCAGACTGCCCTGGGCTGCTGTGAGACATGGTTAGCTGCTTTTTGGTAAAGCTAAGCGTGATGATTCTTGGGAGAGTTTAGACTAGAGAGTGTTTTTAGATGTTTTCATATCAGTATGTTAATGTAGGAAAAGTATTTTCTTCTACTTTGATTTACCTGTGTAGAAGTCTTATTACTGTTTTGTTAGGAACTAGCCTTTTACAGAGTTGAATCCAATCCCTGTCCTGAGGTGGTCAGGCTCCAGTTGTAATTAGAAGAGATCTAGTTGATAGAGCAATTAATCTGATGAAACGTAGGTGGGTTTTTGTTCTGCTGTCCAGTGATAAAAGATGCTGTACTCTGAACTGTAAATATTGTTAAATTGTATTTGCTTTGCCTTTGAAAAAAAAACTAACAAAGTTGGGACCTTTCACTGTAGTTTTATCCTTTGTGTACATAGGAGCGGATGTTTGTGTTTGTTTTGTTGGTTTTTTAACTTTGAAGATTTTCACTAGTAGTCTGTTATCTTGTGCATTTCATCATGCTGACTGTAGTGTCTCTGTATTTCTGAAGGTCATCTGTGCTAGATCAGTCCTGTGGGACGGGCTGTATTGTCGGCAGAAGTTGTTAGTCTCATGGCATCCATCCCATTTGATTCTTGTCTTAAGCATGGGATTGGCTCCCTCCTTTTGGCATGTGCTTCTGGATGGGCAGAGAATACGGAGGGCATTAATAAAGTCCAAGATATAAAATAAGAAAGCAGTTAAAGAGCCCTTCCTCCTGTTTTTATACAAAGTCATACTGCTTGATTTGAAAGGGGACAGTTATTTTTGTTTGCTTACTGCTATATGGGTGGAGTTGCTCCATTCCTTTGAGTAGATGAAAAAATGCGACACTGGCATTTTTATACTTGGGGTGGTGTGTTATTTTTTGGCTGGTAGGAGGTACAAACAACCTGCAATACCCTTAGCAAGAGCAAGGACAAGACTGCTTTGAAAGATGGAGTGCGTGTGTAAGTTCTGCTTTTGGTGTCTGTCTGTCCAGTCAGTAGGGGATGTCCAGGGAGTGCTCCCGACCCACCCTGTGCCTCAGGCAGGAATCCTTCCTGAGCTCATCTTCTTGAGCTTGTTTCTTGCCTGTGATGATGAGCAGTATATTACAGTTGAACTCTCTGGTTGCTGTATATCTACAGTGGCCTTGTGCTTGTAATTTGTTAGTATTTGTGTAGTGATCTCTATGGTAGCTTCCCTTTTTCTGGGTTTAACCTGCCTTGCTTGGATAGCAAAGTTGGAGCAGTGTGAGGATGCGCCTATGCCTACAGCTCAGCTGATCCAATGATATTTCTGTGCTGCTGAGAGGAGGAGGCCCTGTTTTTCCTTTCCACTCTCAGGTGTGTGCACACATTGCCTTTCTCCTTTCCCTCTTCCCTTTACGCTAGAGCACTGGCTCCTATCCAGCTCGACTCTATTCACTTAACTTGTTTCAGCCGTACTAGTTTTCTGCCAGGTTAGCAGGTGGAATTTGCTCAGGGGGAGATCCAGCAAGCTCCAGGGCTGCTGCAGAACGAGGGAGGCAGTTCTGCAGCTGGGAATGCGTGAGGAAAGCAGAAGCTACTTCCCCTTTTCACGGTGGTGAGTTGTCTGTCAGCTCCACCGAGCTGTGTAGTGTCACCCGGACTCACAAGAATCCAGTGCAGCCTGAGACTGTCCTGAACAGCAACCAGTTTAGCTCATGCTGCTGGTGCTGGATCTCACCAGGGTGTGGCCACGGGGTGAGAACATCCTGTGAGCTGATACTGTCGGGAAACTCATCTTCCCTTTTAGTGTTTTTACTGGAAAAAAAGCAGTTTGTATCTCCTCTACCCCAAAGAAGCTGTCCTTCCTTCTGCTGCCTGTGACTTGGTTCCCGTCCCTGCGCTTTCCTCTTGTGTGTGTGGCACAGCACTGATGGGACCACAGAGCACATCAGAGTGGAGTTCTGGTGGTGTTCAGGTGGTGCGCAGCCCTTAGTAACCTCCTATGAAAGCACAGAAACACCTGGTGACCTAAAACCTTTAGGTCAGCACACGTTCATTGGCAGAGTATGTGTACTGGGCACCGCAGCTGGTGCATGAATGCTTTAACCTGCTTTTCAGTGCAAGGCTTTCCTCGTACAATATCAAAGTTTCTTCACCTAGCTACTCTGTGCTAAGTTTCTTTGCAAGCCAAGAGACAGGGATGATGCTTGTGGCGTCCCCTCCTCTGTGCATTATGGCCTCAGCTAGTTCATCTACTTCAGAAGAAGGTCTAACATCTCTCTCTCCTGCCGTGAGGAACAAACATGTACTAGCAGGGGGGAATCTTTCCACCTGTAAGGTAGGAGTGTACCTGGGTGAATTAGACATCCCATGTCCTCCCTGCATCCCATTCACTACAATACAGCTCTTTATCATAATGCACATTGTTATTATTATTGTAGTTATCTAATTCTCCCTTGATGGGGCTAGGATAACGGTGGAAAAAACTGGATGGGAAAGTATGACAGCTGCCGCTGAACAAAATACGTTTCGTTTTTTCACTTTTGTTTTATTAAGTCCGGCCATCCTGTTGGGAGTAAGGCACCGGTAGACGAAGCCTCTGCCTTATGCATCCGGAAAACGTGCCGTGCTTTGTGTAACAGCAAGGTGGAAAATGAGCGAGGATGTCAGGGGATGGGAGTGGGAGGAGAGCTGCACGCAAATACTGAATAGGCAGTTGTGTCTTCTGAGAGACATGCTGCAAATGGGACTGTTCTGCTGGGCATCTGGAAGGCATTAAGTGTCACAGGAGCTTTTGTTGGCAGAGGTATGGAAGCAGTATTAAGGTGCATTTGTATTTGGTTGGACTAGGTATAAAATCAGGGGTTTTCAATGTGGCAGCTTAAAAAACCCATGGCTTTCTAGGCCTAAATGGAGGGAATGGTTAAACACTCTGAGCAAAGTGAGAATTCAAAGCTCTTACATAGTGATTAAAATGGCAATATGAGCCAATAAATCTTTTGTTGTATAATAATAGGGGTCTTCAGATCCTATTTTCTGTAAAATAGGGAGTAGTTTTCATAGCTGATCTGTTTTTCATAAAACAGTGTGGTTTTGAACAATAAAGAAAGGTAATATGTTTCAGCAAACATCCATTTCGACGGTGCTGTCCTACTGAGCCAAGGCAGCGCTTAGTTCTCAAGTCAGTCCTTGAAGAGTGCGTGCGTCAAATAACTAGATAATCCCGACTGGAGAAAGGGGGCTCGTGTACTTCGGTAGGTAAAACAAGCTGTGTTTTAACTGAGAGCGTATCCTCATGTCGTGAGAAACAAGTGAGGATTGAGTGCTTCTGGGTTGCTGTTTTCCCCTCCCTTTCCTGAACCTGTTGCTAGTCCCCAGTTACCTTGGCATATTCCTCGGCTTTTTAGGCCTGGGAAAGAAACAGCCTTCAGGAATCCTTGCAGGAAATGTGTTTTATTTAACGTGTTACTTGGGAGAGAGAAGAGAATGATGAATGCTGGATCTTGTCCCTCCAAGACTTGGGCCTGAGCTTTCCTCTGTCCCAAACTGCCCAGATGGGCTGACGTATAGTGCCCATGTTTTCAGAAGCTAATACATCTTCTCTGCTTTTGTCAATAAGCACAAAGCAGTGTATTGTTACCAACGCCTTCATGCCGCCTTGCATGACAGCACGCTCTAACTTCGCCTGGGGCCTGCTGCGCTGTGAGATGGGGAGAAAAAGGGGATGGCCATGGGCTGATCTGTGCCAGCGGGAGCAGTGCAGATGCTGCGGCAGACAGGACCCCCTCAGAGCAGACTGGAAAAAGGCAGCATGGGGAGATGGGAAGGATTAAAGGAATATGGATGAAATTTAGAGTTGATTGTTAGTTAAATTAAGTAATGAAAAATGTTTCCTTTTATATTTCCATCACGCTCCTGGTGGTTCAGCCAAAAAAGGCTGGCTATGGCTTCCTACAGTGCCAGATGCCGACTGAGCGAGTGGAGGCAGTCCTGGGACTGCAGCATACCCTTGCCTGGGAAGGTTCTCTCAGCCCTTTTTGGCTTCAGCAAGGAGCCCAGCTAATCAAGTAGAGTGAGACCAAGCACCAAGATAAGGCTGTATCTCTGAGGGAGGGAGAGCATTTCCGACAGCCAGAGCAGCACAGATGGTGCAGGGAAGCCCTCTCCCCTGCAGACCTGTCTGTAAGCTCCATCAAGAGGAGCAGATGGAGAGTGGATGTAAATTCAGTGTTCGTGTCAGAGACAAGCAGCAGAACACATTAGCAAAGCTTCTGCTAGACCTTATTTGTGAAAATACTTGCTGCTCTTGGTGAGAAATAGGTTTAAACCTGGAAAAGGTATTTATGTGTGGGCAGGACCAAGTGGAAATGGTGGTGTGAGGCATGTTCGAAGTGACGGCACAAAGTGCACCACTTTGGGCATGGTGCAGGACACTGCATCGCTTGGGCTTTTCTCTATGACTAGATTTGAAGAGGTACTGAATTCCCACTGAAGTCTAGCTTATTATTAGGTCACTGTCAATGATCATCGTTCTCTTATCTAGGGATGATTATTCAGGCTCACTTTGATAGGGAAGAACAGTTTTCTCTAGTTTTAAAGTTAGTTACAGCCCATCTCCAGCTCTCCCACTTATGGCACAAAGGCATTTGGCAGTCATATGACATCACACTTGTAAAGCTGTAACACCACTTTCACCTGGCTGCTGGTTCCATTCAGCCATAGCTGCTGGCTCAGGGGTAGCTTTCTAGATATTTACATGAGAGCGTAGAGGTGAAGGTGCATATGCAGAATTAGAGAGTGTTGGATAAGACCTTCCACGCACGTGGAGCTGTAACGAAATAGCAACTGGCTATTTCTGTAATTCATGAAACCACCAAAGTGGAGGCTGGTCTAGGTCAGATCCTACGCAGCAGATTCTGCAGGGCTGGCAGAGCCTGTCTTACTGTCTCCTTGAATTGCCTTGGATTTTTCCAGGGTTATTTTGTGCTGTGAAATGTGCAGGCCTCTTTCATTTGACGGGCAACTAGCTAATCGGACACGGCTGCGTGCCAGCAGGTTGGAATTTTAAGTAAAATATATGAGACATCTTTCCATCCAGGCCTGCATCTGGAAGGAGGGTTTTTTAGCAATGTAATCCGTGGAGTAAGCCTCCTCGCTCTTCCAGGCTGATTTGATGTTAGCAAAACATTGTGCATTTGGTATCTTTTGCCAGCCTTCCTCTTCTGTAGATTTTCTATTAAACATGTAAAATGAATTACGGCTTTTCCGAAAAAGATACGTTTGAAGGCAATCCCAGATAATATGTTTTAAGATTAGAATACATTCAGCCCCTAAAAGCGGTAATTCCTGAAAAGACAGGGTGTGGGTCTGACTGCAAACAGAAGGTGTTTCTTTTGTGATTTGATAGCAGAGGAGGAACTGAGAATTATGATTTATGGAAAAAGGAAAAATTATGTGGGCTGATGAATTTCGGTTTGGGGCTTTTGTTGAGATTTGGCCCGTTATCCTGATGATTAATACAGCAGAGCTAGCTTCCCTCTCAGAGTCTGAGCTCATTCTGCATGTGTTTCTCTCACCAAAACAGTGTTGGTTGCTATGAAATCCCCAAACAGCTTTTCTCAGTGAATCGGTGTTTTCAGAGCTGTTAGCTATGGGAAGGGTTGCCTGCAGTGATATGAAAAGGCTTTTTGTGTGGAAATTCAGGCATGATGATGCATTTTGAACACTCCTCTAAAGCAGGTCATGCCAAGAACCTACAAATGCTTGTCCCTCGCTCTGTCCCCTGCTTTTGGCGTCGCTCTGGGGATATTGTGCAGGTCTTCAGCTGCTGTAACACAAAGGTGTTTGCCCATTTAATACGAGCGTTGCCTCTCTGCGCTTTTGAAACTCTTGCCTGTCTGCACCCTAAAAACCAAGGTGCCTTTATAAGCTTGGCCTGTCCTATTATTGCAAGTGGGGGATATTAACCCTTTGCACTGAGAGGGGACTCCTTGGCAGCAGGAGGCTGCTGTCTCTTGCCAAAGTTTCTGCTGCTGTTGGTGCTGTTTCTGCATCGCTGGCTCCTGGCAGGGCTCTGATCTCTGGAGTCTCTCCCATGGCTTTGCAGCAGTTTCCTATCTGACAGCAAACAGCTCCTATGTCTTGGTTGCTTCAGCTCTGCCCCGTCACCCTGCCCTCTCCCTGGCTCTCTAGGGGAACCTGAACTTTAATCTGACTACTCTGGGATTAACCCTTCCGTGAGAAGTGATTTTAGTGGGTCTCATTTAGAAACCAGCATACTGATCTCAGGACTCATGCTGTTGGGCTGTGGGCACCAGGGCCTGCATCTGGTTGACTCATTTTCCATGTCTGGTCTCTCAGAAGGAAAGCTATCCCTATTTTTTTTTTTTTTTATGGACCTACTAAACTTACTTTGTTAAGAGAGGCCGGCACAGCTCCAGGTGGGGTTGTGTGGGTACATTTGTATGGCTAAAGCGTTATGTGGCGAAGGCATTCAGCTGCTCTGCTGGAACACAGCAGGTGCTGGGCTATAGCGAGGGGGCAGGGATGGTTCGTTTGAGGACACTGGTTGCGCTGGTCAGTGTTGCATAAAGACATGTTGATCGTTACAGGCTTGATTACAGCCTAAGCATCCACAAAGGCTTTGGGTGTGATGAACATGTGTGCCCAGTCACCTTTTTAATGATGGGAAAAGAGATAAAACTGTTGTGTGGGGTGGGAAGCATTTCTCCTTGACTCCTTAGTCACAAAGCCTAACCTTTGCACATTGTTTTCCTCCTGTATTTTCTTTCACAGGTGTCTAATACCTCATTTCTCACTCTGCAGACTCAGCTCATCCAAATGGTGATATGGATGCTCCAACACCGGCTTCTTATTCAGCTTCACACTTACGTCTGTCTGATGGTGCCACCAAATGAGGAGGATTTCCGAGCCCAAGACGAAGACATGCCCTTCACTGCCAGAGTTGGAGGCCGAAGTTTAAGCACCCCCAATGCTCTCAGCTTTGGTTCTCCAAGTATGAGCAGACTTTTCTCTGCTGTTCGGACTCCAACCCATTTCTAGAGCCTCCCTTAGCGATGCTGAGGGTAATCAGTCAGGCGCTGGTAACAAGAAAACTCATCTTTGCTGGAGTGCTTGCTAATTAGGTCCAGCCCTTAAATTTAGAGCTGGGCATTGATGAAAGTCTTAAGGGCTATTAGACCTTAAATTACTGTTTTTAAAAACAAGTAGTACTTTGTAATTTGCCAAGTTTTCATTTAGTCATTTTTATCAGAGGTACTTCTGTTTTTTCAAAATAACTTTGTACTTCCTTGCCTCCTTCAAGAGTAACTGCTATGTTCCTCTGGCTGCACTGCTGTTACTACCTGAACTTTGGTTTTCAGGAGAGGCAGAAAACTGTGAGACTTTGTTTCAAGCAGCATTGGTTTCTCTGGGCTGTAGAGCCCACTAAGGAGATGTGGAGCAAGCTGTCGTTCTCACAAATGGTTGATTTCTGTTTATGTCTCCTGATTTCCTTAATCTGCTCAGTGCCATTCTTCAGGGTGATTCCAGGAAAGCATTTTTTCAAGAGTGTAAATCAGATGCAACAACACTGAAATGCCCAGCTTTCCTGCCTGTGCTGTTATGAGGAGCGTTCTCAGAACACCACTGAGGCTGGCTATTGGGAGAGATTCTCTGTACAACTTTCAGCTTTACAGAAGTCATGAATTAGGGCAGAAATCTTGGAACGTGAGTCAGATAAGTCTGCGATCTGCTTATTCTGGCTTGCTCACAAGAGGATATTGCTTCTTGGCCTTTCTTTCTGCTTGCTCCCACCTTCTGTGCTGTTAGGCTTTTCATGTTACCACTTCACGGTATTCCAGCAGAGTTGGCTGGGAATTTTCTTTTCAGATCGTTTTTATGGACTGTTTATGGTCTCCAGAAGTACAATTTTCCACATAAATTGATGACTTTGAAATGTTTGACCTTCCCATTGAGAAAATTGCTGTGTTGTCATATGACTAATTGCAGATACACGTAGCATTTCGAGAGCCACTTTCCTCTACAAATCTGAAGGGATGATGTGGAAAGTCTACATACAAACAGCCTGAATTGATAATCTTTGCATCGTTATGCCAAGGAATATAAAAATTCTGTGTCTCTCTCTTCCCCTGATAGCTAGCAGTGATGACATGACTCTGACAAGCCCTAGCATGGATAATTCCAGTGCCGAGTTGATACCTGGTGGGGACTCACCCCTAAATAAAAGGATGACAGAGAATCTCCTAGCAAGCTTGTTGGAACATGAGCGGGAAGCTATCCTTAATGTCCCTGCTGCCCAAAATCCAGAAGATCTTCGCATGTTTGCAAGGTAGGAAATGGGGAGTGCAGATGTAATCTTTTTTTTCTTTTCCTTGCTGTTTTATTGAAGGATTGGTGTGGACTCAGCAAATCCTGGGATTTTGGAGGGTAAATTAATTTGGGTTTGTTCCCCTTATACCTATTTCATCTGCGCACATCAGTTTTTGACAGAAACTAATATATGTGTCACAAGAACAGCTGTTAACCTGGATCTGTGAAGGAGCATCAGGGTGTATGGTTGGACAACGGGGACTTCACTGTTTGCCTGCTAGTTTTCCTGCATCCGCACATGGTAGATGTACAACTGCATCGCCTGAAAAAAAAACCTTCTAAGCTTGCAAAGCAAAGACCCAGTCATGCTGATGCTGTCATTTTGTGTCCATTGATATTTCTGAGCCAGCTAGCCTTTATTTTAAGGTTTGTAAACTCCATGCAAATACGAGACAGAGAAAAAAAGCATCAGACACAAAGCCAGCCTGAATACTTTTACAGACCAGCCTAGAAAGGTTTCAAGGTCTGTTTTGCAGAGATGAGCTGCTCATTTGGGTAGGTTAGTTAGGCTAAAGTCATTAGGAGGTGCGATTAGTAGCACCCAGTTTTGTTGTTACAAATTTCAATGCAACAAAAATACACAAGATGCGGTTCTACACATGGTACAAAGCAGAACAGCTTCCTGACCAGCCATCCGGGAGAAAGGTGTGGGGGGAAAATACTTTTTCTTCTGAAGCATTTCAAAACACAGTGGCATCACTGGAATGCAACTTTCACTGGGTTTCATACTTCTGGAGCAGAAAACCACCTGAGGCAAGTATTGCAGCTTTTCCTGTACGCTTCCCAGATGCTGTTGGTAATCCCCTGAAAACCTCGTTCTTGCCCTGGGATGGATACAGTCAAGTTTGAGAACTTTGAAATGTTTTTTCCTTATTACTGTATAAGGTGTTACAGAACCAGTGAGAAAAGAAAGTGAAAACAAAATCATAATTGGTGGTATCTTAAGACAGAATTTGTGGGGGACGCTTTAGACCAGTTTAGTGGCAGTGCAGATTCTTGGTTATCCTGGGGAGTGGAAAGGATTTCATGATTGCTCCCCTAGCACTTCCCTCATATGGGTAAAACAGCCATTTGAAAGCTCTGGAATTGCAGATGCAAAAAAATTAACTTTGATTTCTTCATCACATCAGCTGCCACAACCAGGTAGCTGTCTAAACAATGCTTATTTTGCAGTTTGTCCGTGCACCAGGTTCTTTTGCAGATCCCCGGGATGCCTTTGCTAAGTCTGAACTTCCAGTCTACTGTAGATTGACCTGACAACTGGATAGCTTACTCTTAAGTCAACACTGAGGAGGAGAGAAGATAGGATAAACAAATGGGTCCTGTGGGTCGGAGGCTGGAGTGTACAAATAGAAATGTTTATGCAAGACGCTCTTGGTTACCGGTGGCTTTATGAGACACCATAACTTGGAGGTTGTGGGTGTATTTTCTCTCTTTTTGTGCCGTAAACCATCAGAGATGAGTGTCTGGGTAAACCTATTGCTCTTAATGAAAGTATAAACAATTGCGGAGAAGCCTCTGCAGTGAAGGAGCTGATCTCCCTCATTACCCTGATACAGGTTACTGTGTCAGCTCTTCTTTTTGCTTCGTTTTGAGGAATAGCAGCCTAACGAGGGCTGTGCTAAGGCAAACAGCTCTGCTGTATCAGCTGCCTGATACCAACTCCTGCTATAAATGCATAGTTAGTGCACTAAATATACTGCAACTGCCCTTCCAAGCGTAGTTGTGTGTGCACACAAAGGGATGGGCTATTTTCAGCACAGCAATAAAGTTCAGCCCGATACATTTTCTTGTGTCTATGCCTCTGAACGCCTGTTATTCATTAAACAGATGGCAGAAGGAGCTTGTGCCTGCCCATTGCTATGCACAGCTGGTATTTGCAAGGCAGAAACCTTAAGAGGAAATAAGGAATACTGAAGCTTGGCCCAGCGTTAGCTGCATTAACCCTCATAACATTAAATGGGAGTTGAAATCCAAGTTCTTTCCCGAGGTGCTGCTGGAGGACGATGGCATGTCCTTCCAGGAGTGAACTTAGGGAGGAGACAAGTTCTTTCTGAGCTAGATATTCAGTAATGTACACAAAGTGTTCCTCACTGCACATTAAGCAGAGCTTTTAAAGACAGTTTGAGGCTTTGCTGATGGCTTTTCTCCCAAGCCATGGGTGTGGAGTCACTTTCAGGATTTTTTTTCTTGCTCTTAGATGGGGAGATGGAGGTCCTTTCCTCCACTGAGGAATACTCATTGCTGGCACTAAGCTGTGGAAGGGATATATCCTTGGCCAGAAATAAGCTAATTTTATTTGACTGACCAGTCTGAGATTTTATTTTTTTGTGTTAGCGTTTAAGAACCCTACACTGCTATTAGAGGGGCAGCTCTTACACCTTGAAGAGGGGGAGAATAGTGATGAGCAATAGAAAGCAATAGTCTTCCTCTGGAAGTGCACGTCTGTCAACAGAGTACTTGTGCAGCTTCAGACGGACCCAAATGCAGTGTTACTCCCCCAGGAAGTGAACTTACGTCCCGTCTGGGTCCTATAAATGTTCACCGCTCAAAAAGGTGAAGGTAGTACCTGTCTTCACTGGAGCTGTGAGCCCCAGGTTACAGCTTTGGAAGTTCTATTTGGGGCTTTTGGGAAAACTTCTTCCCCAGGAGAGTGGTGCAGCCCAGGACAGATTACCCAGGAATGGGTGGGGGGGATCTCCATCCTCGGAGGGGTTCAGAGCTTGGCTAGAAAAAGCTACAGTGTTGGCAGCGTTCCTGCTGGAGCAGGATGCTGGACAGGACTTTGGAGGTGTCTTCCAGCCGGCATTTTTGTGATATGCTTTAACATCCTCTCTAGCTTTTATTGGAGTGGAAAGTATTTCATCTTGACCGGTTACAAAGCCAGACTCTTTTTGAATATAGGATGGATTTATTTATTGGAAAAGTCCTGCTTAGTCTGTGTTGCTGTTCAAGGCTGGGTCGTAATCATCGCACAGAAGACAGCAGTGCCAGGAGATGAGAGCATGGGCAATCACAGTAAGCAGCTTTACAGAAGGGAGGGAATATGTAGCTTTTAAAATCTTCTTCAGAATTATTTTTTCAACAGTAATACAAGTTACAAAATACCAACATTACTGTTAATACCTCAGGGAAGGGTCTGGCTTTGACACATACACACATAAACCTGCACTGTCCGTGCTAATGGCAGCTTCTCACTGACTGCTTGCCATCAGCCCAAGGAAGGAAGCCAATTAGCCTGATTTAAATACCCAGTGGGAGACACTGCAAAAGGCAAATGCACATCCCAGATAGAGGAAAGGTAATCAGGATGGGAGCTTTTGCATCTGCTGTTTGTACTGCAGGTACAGCAACGTAGCAGTTAGTTATATTCTACTTAATGGTGCCAACTTGAGAGCTGGCGATGAACGGCAAAGGAGAAGGGAGTTCGCAGAGCGTTGGGGACTGCGGCTCTGAGCTCACATACAGCTGTTTGGGGAACGTGAGGAGGGCCATGGCAAGTTGAAGAGCAGAGGAACACAAATGGCAGTGCGCTGGAGGTAAAAACCTATGCTCCACGGCATAGAGGGAGCGTGTTGTTGCACAGTGACTCCTTTCCAGTTGCCCACCAAGGGCAGTGGGTGACAGGAGTGCCTAGCCTGAGCAGCAGCCAGCCAGGCAAACATCAGTCCTTCAGGGAAGGTGCTGTGAGGCCCTATCCTGCTGTCATGTGAAAACAGACAGGAATGCTCTAAGGGGCGTTCGGTATCTTTGGAGGGCTATTCCTAGACCAGGACTGTATGAATTGGAAAACAGATCTTGTCATCTCCATTCATTTTTACTGTCAGATGGCATGAGGCAGCAGGCCAGCATATTCCTAAACTGCAGATGGGTATGGAAACATGAGCAAAAGCTGCTGAAGCAGCGTGTGATGTGTAATGCATGCAGACACACATCTGTCTGCGATTCTGGTATGTGTGTTTGGGCCTTGATGGGTAGGAGTATGTAAGTAAGTAAGTGACACATGCAGTCTGGTTCCTGTGTTTGGGAGGTGGTTAAGACAATTAAGAGACGGAGCAGCAAACTCTAGGTTTGTCTGGAGGGCTGGCTTGGTGTTACAGCTCTGAAGGTTCTCGTGGGAGCAGGTCTGGGGCTGCTGTGAGGGAAAATAATGCTCTTAATTCTAGAAGCAAGTGTAGGTGCCCAGGCCTGTGATGCAGAGTTGTGACAAAAGGCAGTGTAGACCCACTTAAGAGAGGGCAGAAGTAAATCTGCCACGTCCTGACTTCTCAAGGCTTGTTGTCACCTGTGGTTCCTGGCTTTCTGGAGTTACAACTATGTTGAAAATGGACAATCTCAGGAAATGCCCTAGGCTGGGAAACCTTCTGATACAAGGAGGATGGTGTAGCCCTGAGCCAGGGGAGTTCCCTGCCTTTCCAGGGGAATTCTGTGCTAGGCGTGCCTAAGGTAAGGACCAATTTATTTCACTTTTCATGTAAATGAGGGCACAACCCAAACACCTCCTGATTTGCGTCCCATGGAAGAGGAAACCTCAAGGGTGGCAGTATCAGTTCTTCCTGCGTGCACTTGCTTTTCTGGCCCACGTCTCCCTTGCTCTCCTTCCCTGCAGGCTGCTACACTATTTCCGAGGCCGACACCATTTGGAGGAGATCATGTACAACGAGAACATGCGTCGCTCCCAGCTGCTGATGCTGTTTGACAAATTCCGCAGCGTGCTGGTGGTGACCAGCCACGAGGACCCTGTGATTTCAGTTTTTCAGTCCCTCTTAAAATGACTCTACTGACAAAGGAAGGGAAACTGCCACGTCTGAGAGGTGAATTCAATTCCTTCTTGCTGGCTGATGTACAGCAGGTTCCCTATGTCCGTGCCTTGATGTCCTGTCTGCTCCCTGTGGTGACAGCCGAGGCCGGTCTGTGCCAGGGCTCTAGGGCCTGCTGCGGGACAGCGTGCGCTTGCTCAGCCTGGATTCCTACTGAATTCCCTGAGCCCGCTCCCTCCGCAGGGCCACGAAGACTTCTGCTGTTGCGTTGCTGACAGTACTTCACCTCCGAGTGGATGCTGGTGGATCAGAACGGCTTTCTCTGCTCTCCATCACCACGACTGCTGGGTCATTCAGCTGTGAGCACCGTTTATGAGCAAGGGCAGGGTGGCATTGGCCTGGCTTTTAGGGAGATGTCCCTGGGTGCTGAGGAACTCTGATCCTCGTTACCTTGCGGCAGTGAGGACATAGGTAGGAAGGCAAAGTACCACAAGTAAACAGTTTCTGGAATGCAAATGACTCACTGTGTTACAGCTTGTCATTTCCTCTCCCCACTATCCTTATCACTGAGTATCTACTGGAGCTGTCACCAAGCAGCCTCTGTGTTTGTGGGTTTTCAGCATTTCAGTTTTTGACTGGGGCAGGAGTGGGGCTTGGTGGTTGAGCAGGACTGACATCAGCTGCCCAAGCTGCAAGTACATGGACACAGTAGTTCTCTAGCGGCTGGTGCTAAGGGCACTCAGATGTGTCCCCAGGGCTTGTTTTGTTCCTCCACTCCCCTCCCTGTGGCTGCAGGGACCTGGATTGGGACCCTGCCCTGGGTTAAAGCTAATCAGCTGAAAAACAAGATACGGGTCCTTACATGGCTGTGTTTCCTCACCTGGTCCAAGACTGCTCCTCCAGCCATGCTAGGGGTAGAACAAGAGGTGACAACCCTGCTTCTGGGCCAGCTCAGCCCTGGCCTGCGTGAGGCCACAGCCCCCCACAGCTGCTCAGTGCATGCGCTGTGTACCTGGGAAGGGAGGGACACCTTTACCTCTCTGGTGGCTGCTTCCAGGGCTGTGTGCTGTTAACAGACCATCAGGCTCCTCCTTAAGACTCTCCCTCATATCACACACACGCAAGCTGGAGTTTTTCCCAGAGTTGCAGGCTCTCACAGAGCAGCTTTGCTTGCTCACACAAATTGGGTGAAACTATGAGCTTTACAGAATTTATCTACCACCAGCAAGGCACAGACACGCCAGGGGAGCCCTGTGTCCATGGTCCACCAGATACCTGATGACAGCTACTTACTGTAGGTCCCTTCTGTGCGTCTTCCCCTGCAGCTGCAAGCAGGGATGTTACAGAAGAGCAAAAGCAATGCCCAACCCAAAAATCGGATCAATGGTGCTGTAGGGCCCCAGTCCCAATCAGCCCCTAGCAACTGCATCTCAAGGTGAGCCGCTGAGATTGGCACAACAAGGGCTGTTCAGAAGGGAACAAACACAGTATTTTTCATGTGATGAGGACAAGGGTTTTGAAAAACCTGAGCTTTTTTCTTGCATGTGAATCCTAAGGTGAGCGTGGGGTGGGAGTGCGTGTCCCTGTTACCCTTCAAACTGCCAATGCAGCTGCAGTTCTGCCCCAAATCCTAGAGTTACTTTTTCCCCCTGTACCTCATAGCAGGCTGCAGCATCGCAGAAATCTCAGCATCGACGCTTTCTCTGTGATAGGGTTCCCACAGCGGTAAGTTCTGAACTGGTTCTAAAGCAGCTGGGAAAACAAACAAAAAACATTCTTGTTCTCCAAGCTGGACGTTAGACTGGTAGAGGGTGGAAGGGGATTCTGGAAGTCTTCTATCCAAATCTCTGCTCAAAGAAAGCATGTTAGGTCACTCAGGAGCTTGTCCGGTGGAGGTTTGACTGTCTCCAAGGACAGAGATCCCACAGCTTCTCCAGGCCCCTGTTCCAGTGTTTGACCACCCTCATGGTGCAAATATTTTCCATCCAGCTAATAAGAATTTCCTGTTTTCTGGCTTGTGCCCATTGCCTCTCATCCTGTCTGACAAAAGTCTGGCACTGTCTTCTCCACACCCTCGCACTAGGTAGGTGTAGCCAACAGTGAGATCCCTCCTTTACCTCCTCTTCTCCAGGCGGATCAAACCCAGCTCCTGTCCTTTCTGTCAGCCCTGCTGCCCTCAAGGCTTTGGCCTGTTCCCCTGCCGCAGCCAAGTGATGGTCTCGGCTGGGGCCAGGGGCAATGGGCGCAGCACAGTAGGTCAGAGCCGTGAGCCTTCACCGCTCCTCCACCCTAACTGAGCCTAGACCCACTCACAGGCAAAAGTGGCCTTCAACATCCAAACCCAACCTCCGTTCTGGCTGGGAGACCCAAACCAGTCTGCCCCACACGTACAATTCCACCTTGCCCTATGCGTCGCAATAAAGTACATTTATTGTTAAAAACCTCCAACTCACTGTGTCTGACATAGCTTGGGGCTGTTGTACAGAGCACAGCTCAAGTCAGCTGCAAGTGTCCCATTGCTGCCATCTCTCTCTCTGTTTTCTTGTCTACAACGCTCACAAATTTGTTTCCTCGTAAATAAAACCTGAGAGGTTTCTGTGCCCACTCTCCCCTGTTGCCAATGCCAATCCTTGTTGTGGCTACCACGTCCTGCTCCCCTGGCAGGTCACGTCCAGGCACCATCCAGATGGCTGCATCTTGAGTCAGGTCCCTTTGGTCAAAAGCCTTATCAATCCCAAATGCTTGGCAGAGCTTGGAGGGCCCGTTACACAGCTGCCAGTCCTTCAGCGGCTTCGTGGGTCCTTTCCTTGAAGCACTGCGCAGCTCTCTCATCGCTTCTAAACCCCGAAGAGGCTCCAAAGAGCGAAGCAAGACTGCGGCCCCTTCCCCTGCACAGAACAAGAACCTCGGGTTAGTACAGGGTTGTTCATAGAGAACAAGCTCAGCTTTCAGCCCCACCGCCAGCATGTCAGCTCTGTGGCTCAGCGTAGCCTGACGGAGCTAGGAATTGCCTGCAGAGCCCAACCACAGAGTCTGTCTGTCTCTTGGGCCACTTGGCTTCGAGTGCCAGGCTCTGGAGTCACTGCTAGCCCGTGGTCACTGCACTCCTTTCCCTCTTCTGGAGGTCCAGTGTCGCATCGCTCTGTGTCCTTTATTCATCAGTGGTGACTTGCTCTTCCCCAACCCCACTTCTTGATGTTACTAAGCATAGCTGCTGCTCCAAGGCTTGCCAGAGGGCAAGAGGTTTTTCTTATGTCAGCACAATGTTCAGGAATAAATACACATATGGTTTAGTTTTGGCACAGCTATCCAAAGCTGCTCCCAAACCCAGTGGATTTATAATGAACTCTGATTACAAGAACTCCTGCTAACAAAGGAGAGGAGGAATGAGTCTGGCTGCTGCCAGCAGAAACAGGCAGCTTGGAGAGTGAGGCTGGACAAAGAGAAACCTGGGAAGGAACTGTGGGCACTGGGAGCGGCCACTGCCTGTGCCTCTGCAGAGGGAGCCCCGGCTGCAGCATTACCAATTCAAACACCCGCTTGGAGGTGTAACAGCGGGTGGGATGACCATGGCTTTGGGTAACCCCATGGCTGCAACAGAGAGCGATCCAAAGCTTTGAGCCAGGGAAGCTCCCGCAAGATGGGGCTGTGCCATCTCTGGCTGCATCGCTCCAGCAGAGACCTTGCCACGACAAGAAGTGAAGGAAATGGACAGATTCTCACCTCAAATGCGATCTGCCACCCTCTCAGGAGCCTCAGAAACACCAGCCCCCAGAGCTGTTGTGATCAGCTGCCCTCCCCGATTTTGGTGACAGTGAAGCAAAGATGCAGCTCTGAGCACAAACATTCCCGTGACAAGGATCTCCAGCCTAAGTGGGACATAAACACTTCCTTGGTATTTTCCACTGGACAGCAAGGAAGGTCTTCTCATGACCTTGAGTGGGCGAGGAGAGAGCCTGGTAAAGCGGTCAGTGTGCTGCCCCACACAGCACCCCTTGTGCTGGGGCCGCCCACGGCATTCC